CAAAGTGCTTGGGCCTGCTTAGTGAGGTCTGCCAAAGTGGTTTACCAGCAGGTGGCATCAAAGCTTAGAAAATGACTCAAGGCAAATCAGAGCTGAGTAATATTTTAAAATCAGTTTACTAATACTATTAATATTCTAAAGCCTTTTCTGTTCTCAGAAACAGCTTGCAAATTGACTAGAAGAGTACCTTTAACCTAAACTTGAAATTTTATAAAAGTCATTATAAAAAAAATGAAAAAAAGGGTAATCATCTTTAAAAGTTTACAAGTAGATTTTTAAAAGCCTTTTAAACTGAGTTTTTGTGCCTTTCTGATGGCAAAGGGAAGTTTGTCCCACAGTGTTGAAGCTATACATGCATATGTGCTCATACATAATACTAATTTTCATGTAGGGTGGAACAGAGGTGCAGTGGTTAGCGCTGGGTTCGAATTCAGTCCGCCTCTCTCCCTCCCATGAGCTCTGAAATGGATAAATAAAAGACAATGGCTGAATGTGAGCTTTATGTCTTAATGACATTTTCCAATATTGATCTAATGTTTAACATTTACTTGAACTGTAAAGTTTCTTTTCTGTGATGATTTGTGTGGACTGTGTTTGAAGGTGCAGGAGGACTGTCGTCTTACAGTAAGCACATTCCTCAAAGCCATCATTCATCGTGTTACAGAGTTACATACAACTAGACCTGATTTTGTTTCCTATTCATTGTAGTATCAAAACAGTTTTAGCGCATGAGGTCTGTACATGCTCGATATTGTTTCATTTTTGCTGAATTGGTGAGTCAGACAGAAGCTGTTAACAGACAGGTTTCCTTCCTCTGCTGGCAAATGTGGACAGGCCTCATTTTGACTCTGCAGTTTTGTCGAGACTGTCAGACTAATGCACACAAGTGATAATCTATGGCAATTTGCCTTTGATAAAGTAAATATCAAATAACAAGTGTGCAAATAACAATTTATTTATTTTCCAAATTATCTGCTGTGCATATCATGTGATCGGTATACTTTACAGGAGTGCTTTGTTTACTGTAATGTCAGCTGACATTTTAAATGTTGATAGAAGGCCAAAAAAAAGCACTTTGACCGAGTGGAAAATAAATACTTGTATGATATGAAAACCATTTTAATAAATCACCTAAGTATGAAACAGTTATTATTAGTGCATATGACAGAGAAGCCTCCCTGATGTTCAGTGGCACACAGCAGAGCATAAATGCCTTTTAATGCTATATTTAGTTGCTGGTGTTCCTCTGGGAGAACAGCATAAAGCTTTAATGTTTACATGCCACATACAGTGCAACATATGACGTAAACTCAATACTTCAGAAGAAATGAGGCCACTTGTGAAATGCTGAGATGCATCCTGCCAAAGGTCTAGCCCTCTGCGTGCAACAATTTAACACAAACCATATGGAAAAGAAGCAGGAAAAAAATGTATGTGTCATGCTATGATTTACCCATGAAAGTGTTACATTTGCAGTCTTCTCCTGGAGAAAAAACCCCACGAGAACTGACTGCAAATAAAGTAAAAAATCAGTTTAATTAAAATATGTGAAAGGATTAATTTCCTGAGAAAATCACAAGCAGCAGTCTAGGGGGTGAAAAATAATGCCAACGCAGAAGTGCTGAGCACAGCATTTCCTTGGTTGAGCCAATAGAGCCTGACTCCAAAAGTGAGTCGATCTGCAGATACACCATGTTAAAATGCTCAGTTTTACCACTGATATAAATATGTTTACAGCCTTTTGCAAAAACCATTTGGGCCACTGTAGCTAAGTTCTGTATTCATGACATGTGAATTTTGCTCTAATGTTCCCATTAAAATTCTGCTAAGGCTTGAAGTTATGCAAAACATGGGAGCATGGATGGTTGGTCTTGATCAGCATTCAGTTGCACTAAAATATAATGGAGTTTGTTGTTCAGTTTTTCTCGTTAAAACATTTTGTTTTAGGCCTAGTTTTCCAATAGCCAAAATTAGCATGTCAATGGACTTTGCTCACCAAGTTAGCTAGCCCTGAGTGGTGTTAGCTGTTTTCAGGCCTCCAAACAGGCGTCCATCTTTTATGTAATCTACGGTTAACCATAGTGTGAGATGAGACTATTTACAGTAAAAGATGTAAGTAGTCATACTGGTTAGTGAACTCCATATGAAGCCTAAAGTTTAGCAGCTCATGAAGGAGGGGTGGCAGTGACAATAAAACCGAGGACAGTGTACGCCCTTCAGCTAACAAAGTCAATTACAACTGGTAGCATTTTAATAATAATGTTAAAGCATTGAACTTCATGTTTTATTCAGCATGACTTTAAACTTCTAATTGAACCCATAAAGTTATCAGTAAAATGTTTACGTCGGTGGCCGAGTGAGAGAGCTGAGGACTTCTAACAGCTCTGTAACAATAGAGTAAAAACAGGACACCAACCTTCTTGTGAAAAAGGA